GGACTACAGAGATATTTGTTGCAGATGATAGAATTGAACAAAGAGAAACAATTTCTTCATTGGTTTGGCAGATATTTTATGATCCACTTTTAAAAAGAGTGCAAGACGAAGTAAGTTTAGAATATGAAATTGAAGCATATAAAGTACTAGATCTACAAATGAACAAAGTTAAAGAAAGAAGGACAAGATAAGCAGCAATAGCCTATGCTGATGACACAACCTGGATAGCAAAAAGCAAAGAGGAAATGCAAGCAATTGTGCAAATTTCACAAAGATTTTTCAAGTTCAATGATATTCAGATCAATAGTGCAAAATTGAAGTTGTTAGCAATTAATCCAAGTAAAAGAAATGAGGAAAGATGTGTAACAATAGGTTCAGATCAAGTACAGGCTGAAGGAAAGCATATACTAACAAGAATGTTAGGAGTATGGTTGAGTATAGAAGTGAATGAAAGATTAGTTAAAAAAAAGGTAAAAAATATTATGTAGCAATTTATAAGAAGCTTATGATCAAAGAAATTAACTATTAGTCAGCTAATATATATTAACAATATGTGCATAATACCAAAATTGATGTACATATTGCAAACAGCAAGAGTGTCCAAAGAGTGCATAAATCGCTTATATCAGCCAGTAATTAGATTGATTAAAAACAAATTAGGTCTGTTAGCAACTGTAGGAAATAGTATAATTGCACATCAAAATTTAGGAAGATGTAGAGTGCTAAGTCAGGAAGTATTTAATAGTCAGGTAATTTCTTTATAAAGAAGTCTAAATAAGCCAGATCAAGTTGGTAAGATAACAAGAATACATATGAAACAAGATTATGCTTTAGCAGAACTAATATCAGAAGAGATAAATATAGCAAATACAAGTAATTTAAGAATGATATGAAAAAGAAATCTTGCATGCCTAACATTGTTATGAGCAAGTGAAATAGATTTAAAGATAAAGGCAGAAGGAGTTCTTTGGCAAGTTTTTGGTATAGGCAAAACTGTACAAAGCTTGTTGGAAAATGAGACATTTAAAATGGCTTATAAAAAGCTAATGCAAAGTAGATTATTTTTTATACAGCAGTTAATAGATCAAGAAGACAAAAGAATGATCATATGAAAGAAATTTAGAGCATTATGCACAAGTATACAAAAAGACTGGAAAGCAAAATGGTTTGCCAAAATTGAACATAAGATGGTAAAAGACCAAGTAAATAGAACAGTTCATTCTGAGTTTCAAATACAAGAGATAAACATTATGGCAATGAAAATTAAGATTAAGAAATTATCACAAAATAAAAGAAAACGAGAATAGATATTAGTAAACAAAGAGAACACTGAACCAATAGTAGGCAAAGTAGTCAAAAAGAAAAATGTACTGATAAATCATTGGAGCACATCACAAGTTGAAGAAAAAAGTTATTCAGTATTTGTAGAATGTGATAAATGTAATCTGAGTAACAGTAGTAGTACAAGCAGGTGTCAATATTGGATTAAGAAGAGTGCAATAATAGGAGTATTATCAGAAGTAAGACAAATGTATGAGCAAAAGGTACCAGTCTTGCTTGAAAAACTAAAAGAGTACAACAGATGTCAGATTGAAAAAGATGACATAAGAAATAAAAGAACCATAAGTGAAAAAATAATGGTATATAGTCATGAAATTAGTTTATTGAAAATGCAAGGTCTAAACAGCAATTTAGAGAGTATGCTACTAGAGCAGTTGAAAAAGAACATTATGGATAAGCATATAAAATATAAGTTTTATACAGATAGGTTATTAGTAAAAGAAGAAAAAAAGTGTAAAATAGGTACAGGTTGGGTGCAAGTTAGTGATGATGAAAAGGAGGTTATAATGAAAGATAAAGTTAGATTAGAGAAATGATTATTATTAACAAAGCCAGAGTTAGTGGCAGTATTGATAGTAGTTTTAGTTGTAACTAATAACAGTAAAGTAGTGATTAAATTAGATAGTTCAGTGACAATTGCAAGTCTGAAAAGAGAGGAGCCTATGTTTAACATTAGGTCATAAAGCAAAACCAAAAACTTCAGATTAGTAATGAAGATCAAAAATATGTGCAGGTTAAAAAATATCGAATTAGTGCTAGTTAAGATTAAAGCATATAGTGGAGTAATATGGAATGAAAAAGCTGACAAACTCACAAAAGAATACACATTGTTAGGTGAATGCTTAGACCTAAAACTTGAAAGAAACTGTTGATTTTTATGTATATTATATTGAAAAGAATCAGTAGTAAAAATATCTACCAGAAAATTTATAAAGACATTAACAAACATAATAAATGGTGCTGAATGGCAGTGCTCAAAGGCAGTTAGAGAACTTAAACCAAATATTGAAGTTCAAAGAGATTGAAAAGCATTGTAGAAAGAAAATAGAAGTTTAATAGAAGTTAAATGTAAATTACTAGAGGTGAGTAAGAAGATAACATTTAAAGTTAAGTGTATAAGTAATAGTTTGCCAGTTCTTGAGGTACTAAAGAAGAGAATACCAGACATATATGAAACAGATAAATGTAAAGAATGCTATAAGAAACAAAAGATATCAATACATTTGCTTAGATGTGAAGAGTACAATGGATATTAGAACAATATTGAAGAGTTAGCATGCTGGTTGGTATGGAAAAAGCTTGATAAAAAAAATAAAAGCAAGATTACAAAAATTGAGTTAAGCAAAATACTTGTTAAAAGAACTTTAACAGATAAAGTTAAACATCATGAGTCATATATATATGGCTTAGCAATAGAAAGTATGTTTAAGAAATTATATGTGAAGCAAATGTTATGAAGAGATACAAAACATTCTGTGAAGCAATATATCAAGATTGTTGAAAAGATATTTAGAAAAGAAATATAGTGGAGAAGATGCAAAACAGTAGCCAAATAAGAAGATAAGAATGGAATAACTTTTAAGATGAAGCGATGCAGAATGAAGAAAGATAAAATGAAAGCTATAGTTCAAAAAGAATCAAAAATAGAAAAAACAACAAGAAAAGTATTACAAGTAAGACAAAAGATGTTAAAAATAAAAAGAGAGAAATGGAATGTTTTCATCTATTTAATGAAAGAGTAGATGAACTAGTGCAGAATAGAACAAATCCATTTTGGTTCAGTTCTTGACAAAGCTGACAAGGTCTCTCAGTTTAGGTATAAACTGGTATGACAAGTCACATTTGAGTACAGTTTTTGTACTTGGGTGATGCCAGGTTTGCAATTTCAAAATGTGGATTATTAGAATAATTAATGTTTCAAATAGTAAAATTTTGTATCTGAGCTTTGACAAGACTGTCAAAGAAATAAAAAAAAAAAAAAAAAATAGTTATATGTCAACAGATTACCAATAAACTCCTAGGTTACAAGTACTCACCTTAACATTAAAAAATATATATATAAGCATAACTATATCTTTAGTTTACATATTCTTTAATATATAACCTTTATTTTTAAAAAGTTTTAACATCTTAATTAATTACAATAGTCCTTTTTCACATTTGAAAAATGACTAAAGTTAAGTTCTTTAAATGTTTTTGCTTATTTAGTTATATTAGAATAAGTGTTAGTAAACTATACTAAGATTTGCATACACTCTTTTTCAAACACACAAGTTTTGGAGTAGAGTAACTTTTTTGTTAAAAATAAGAGCAAACGACAAAACAAAACCAACTAAAATATTTACTAAAACAAGGGCCCTTGTCCTTGTTTTAAGAAAAAGGTTCTTTTACAGAATTCCAATATACAAAAAGCATAAAAATAACAAAAAAAATAGCATTAACAAGTAGCAGAAAAAAAGTAAAGAAAAACAAAAAAAATACATCAAGTTCTCTAAACTTGGTGACTGACAAAGAAGAAGTTACTAAACATGAACAAAAAAAAAAGCAGATACTAAAAGAAATCTCTAGTGAAAACCCAACAAGCTAGGACAAACAAGTAGAACTAGAAATAGAAAAAATAAAAGCTATTCAAAACCAAAAAGTAAACAAGAACAACATATCCAAGAATACTGTAAACATAACAACAAACAACACATCTGAGAAACAGATAATACTAGATAACTTAGAGAAAACTGAAAATATAACAGAACAGAAGCTAGACATAACAAAAAACTTATAAAGTAATAGTTCATCAAATGAAGCATATAAAACTAACTCCTACAATGAGTTACAAAAAGACAACGATATACAAAAAGACCCAAAAAAGACATTAACTAAACAGTGGTCTAGTCTCTTTCCAAAGCTAAGAAGAGAACAGTCTATCTACTCTTCTTTCATGCCCAGAAGTCAAATCAGATCAAAAAATGAAAATGCTCTAATGATAGATATTCAAGGCATGCATAGCTCTTTTAACGAAATTTTAGCCTCGTTATTTAAAAACCTTAAAGAAGATGTTATAGTAGCAAAACAACACTTTACAAAAAAAACACATACATACTTAGAAATAGTATTTGAAAACAAAGACAAATTAAAATATCATGTTATCAAGAGTATTAATATTTTTGGCAGAATCTACTTTGGCTTTATTTCTACAGATTTAAGAAAATCATTTCTCTTAGTCAAGATCAGAAATGTTCCACTAGGTAACAAAGAAGCAATATCAAATGCTATAAAAGAAGCATTTGAGTTTATTGGCAAAATTGCATCAATCAAACCTCTATTAATTGAAGGAATACTATGTCTTATGGACCAATAGATTATAATTTTTGAGAACTCAGATGATCCTAACTTAGAAAATAAAATCCACCATTTTACACATGTGTGGGACAACAAGGTTATAATAAAATAGAAATCAGCATCTAAAATATGTTACTTTTGTGAAAAAGAAGGCTATGTTAAAAAAGAATGTTAACAATTTTAGGACTCAGTAAATTTATAAATTAGCTATCAAAAATACAAAAAAAATAAATATAATAAAAGACTCTCAAATAACTTTTAGAAGTTAAATGAGACTCTAGAAAATACCAAACAAAGTAATAAAGAATCTATATTATCAGCAAATGCTAAGTAGCAAGAACAGAATAATGCAAAAGATGATGCTCACATGGCCTTAGAAGAAACTGACTCTAGCTATCAGCAAAACCTTTAGTTTCCAGTTCTAGCAGAATTAGCTACAACAAATAACAGCTCAGATGAACAAATACAAATGATAGCCCAAGAAGATCTCTTACCAGATACAGAAGTGCTACTAAGAGATGAACTTGTCATTTATAGCTATAGAACATCATATTCATCTACAAGCTGCATCCCCAAAGCAGTCTCTTTACTTGACAAAAATAAAAAACAGATGGCTTTATCATAGTCACTAACAGAAAAACTAAAAAAGGAAATTGAATATCTAAAAAAGATGAAACAAGATCATCTCTTTACAAGAAAACTTGTAGAAAGGAAAGCTACTCCCAACTCAAGAGATCCAACAACCTCATATAATTTATAACTCAAAAAGCCAAGTTAAAAATAGCAACACTAAATATAAAAGGATTTAACAACAAAGAAAAACAACAAAACTTATTAATTCTTTTAAAATTATACAAACTGGACATAATAATGCTTCAGGAAACTAATCTTAATAATGAAAAAAACACAAGAATTCCTTAAACAACTATGGATTTACAATTCAATCTGGACTAAGAAAACAGCAATTCTAACAGAAAACAAAGATATTGAATTCAAAAATACTCAGATAAGTCAGGAAGGAAGAATAATAACAGCAGACTTTGTATTTAAAGGATACTCCTTCAAAATAACAAACATCTATGCACTATCGAACATTAGTGACAGAATAATCTTCTTTAATAACTGGAAATCTCAAATCAAAGAAAATAATATAAACATTATAGTAGAAGACTTTAATGTTAATCTTAATCCCAAAGATAACAGAATTAGTCAAGCAATAGTCCAATATAACTTAACTAGAATTCAGCTCTCCAATCTAACAAAAGAATTTATTAACACAGCAGAGATGTCAAACACCAAGTCCTTCTTAACTTTTTTTCAAAAAACACAAAATAACTGCTTAATAGCTACATGTTTGGACTACATTTTTATAGATGAGAATCATAATCATCTTATATTAGAAGTTAGTACATACTTTGGAAACTCAGACTACCTTCTAGTAAGATGCACACTTGAATTCAAACAAGAGTTTATACAGCCTTCAGCCTGGAGGTTCAATAAAGAATTCTTTAAAAACGAATTATTAAAAAAAGAGGTAATAGAGGAAATTTAGAATACTGGCTTAGCAGAAAACTAGTATTTATATAAAATCTATATACAATCAATTATCAGGGCTTTTTGGAAGCTTAAAGCCTCTAAAAACAAGATGGCAAAACTAAACAAAGACATTACAAAACTAAATAAAGAGCTTGCAGTAGACTTCTCAAAAGAATACCTTAATGAAAAAATAGAAGAACTTAACCTCTAAATACAAGATGAACTAACCAAGATGGCTGAATTATGTCTAATTCAGTTAAAGACAAAATGGATCAAAAGTGAGGAAAAGTCAACAAAATATTTCTTCACAAAATACAAAGCAAGAAAGTCACAAAGTGTTCAGTTTAGAATCAAAATACCTGAAACTTTAAGTTTAGAAAATAGAGATATACTTACATATATTAAAAACCAATATATGAAAATCTACAAAGAAGAAAACATAAATCTTAAGGCAGCAAAAAAGATTACTAAAAATTTTCTTCAAGTATTACAGAACCAAAATGACAATTTAGTTAAAAGAATCTCACAAGAAGAGATAATCCAAGCAATACAAGGCCTTCCTAACAATAAGTTACCTGGTACAGATAGGCTAACTTATGAATTCTACAAACTCACATTACTAAAAATAGCACCAGTTCTTGAAAAGGTGTTCAATCAGATACTAAATACTGGTTGTTTCTCTGATTTATGATGCAGAAACATAATTATACTAATTCCTAAAAAATCAGAAATCTTAAAAGATTTAAACAACTGGCACCCAATCTCTTTAGTAAATTGTAATGCTAAAATATTTATGAAAATTATAGCAAATAGGCTTAATGTAATTTGCAAGAAAATTATTTCTAATCACCAACAAGGATTTGTTTCTAGAAAGTCAATAACAGACATAGTCATAAATATAATTACTACATTAAGAAACCAACTAGATAGTTTCAAACAGCACTAGATGCTTTTAATAGATCAGCAAAAGGCATTTGACAGAATGAACTATAACTTTCTGAATCTGGTTCTAAGAAAAATAAGCTTTGATAAAAAAATGACCAACTTGGTGGCCAATCTTTTTTTGAACCAAATGGCATACATTATAGAAGGCAATGTCTTATCTGAACCCTTTAGAATAGTAAGAAAAGTTCAATAAGGGGATCCTCTCTTTCCCTTACTATATGTGCTTGTATTTGAACCACTACTTATACAACTAGAAAGAAACATTTAAGAAATTCCTTTAAAAAACCAGTTCTTTAAACTATTAGTTTATGCAGATGACTTAACAATTGAAATAAACTTATCATCAGACTAGATAAGCATTATGCAACTTTTCAAAACTTATGAAGCTGCCTCTAATGCAAAAATTAACAAGAATAAAACCAAATTAGTGCCTCTTATAAACACAGTCTGCAGGATCAAACTTAAAGATGAATCACAATTTACTAAAGCTACAGAACAGAAGATACTAACAATTCTTGAATACAAAATAAATACAAAAGATATTCCTAAAAAAGACTTATAGACAACAACAATTATTAGGATAAAAAAAACACTAAAGAAATCATCTAATCAAAATCTTTCTTTTAGAGGAAAAATCCTTTTAACCAAAGCACTTATACTTTTATGAATATGGTATGCAATATACCTAACTCCATCAAATAAAAAACAGATTACGAAAATCAACAGACTTATGACACTCTGAATCAAAAATAACTTCAGAATGCTGCCTAGATACTCTATATTCCAACAATCACTTGAACAAAATGGCCTTCAAGCCTCAATAGTAGGGAACATGCTAGATGCTAGACTAATTTTAGTATGAAAAAAACTCCTTACTAGTGACTTTACATGGACCAAATATGAAAGAGAAAAAATCACAGAAATCCTACTCGAAAAAAGAAACATATCAATAAATTAGGCATTAAAGACAGACATAATTAGATCAAAGGCCTGACCAAAAGAATAGAAACCATACCTCATGGCTTGAAAAAAAGCTAAAAGCAAAGTTACTGCAATGATGTTTTGACCTTAAAAACTTAAAGATATTGAAATAGGAAAACTTAATGAAGAAGAACTTTTAGTCAAGAAAATCATTAAAATTCTAAGAAAAAAACTAATATTCGAACCATCTAGTCCTAGCTAACAACCTAATTGGATGCTAGTTAAGAAAACAACTAACAAGAAAAAGGACATTTTATGATGCCTTTTTTATAAAACATTACTACTAGGATACTGATTACAACATATAAGCTCTTCTATTACAGAAAACTGCCCTGATGTGATAATAAGCTACAAACTGTCGAGCACTTTGTACTCAAATGCAAAGTTAGCAAACAAATCTGAAAACAAGCCTATGACCTTCTAAAAACTAACCAAACTATGACTTCTTTGATCTCTTTAGAAGAAATTTTTATAGCAACAAATATTACAAATAATGAAAGCAAACAAGCCACTCTTTGGCTATACAAAAACATAATCTACAAAATATGGTGCATCTACATCTCTTTCAAATAAGGAGATAACAACCTTTCAAATGGAATTCTACCCCTAATAGCAATCAAACATCTTCACAAAGACATACATACTCTATACTACAATCTGAAAAACTGCTCTCAAAAAATGAAAAATATATATAAATGTATACAATGTTCTTAATAATTTGATTTTAATAAAAGAATGCCATACATGCTCCTAGGTATTAACACCAGAGATAATAAAAAAAAAAAAGAAGTGTTAGTTGAATGTTAAGATTAGAACAATAAATATAAATAAAATTGTCTTTTCAACATTTTTATTAGTGCACTGAAACAGGTTTAAACACTTTTTTTTTTTTTTGTAAGAATCACTTTTTTTTATAGTTTTTGTCTTGTCGGGTAAATTGAAATTTTATTATTTGATTGGCTGGTGCTCACGTGATATAACCTGGCTTTTGAAGATCCCAAATTTGTAAACGATTACACAATTGATAAAAATTTTTTTTATACGTTTTACAATACGATTTTAAAAATTGTTTGGGTAGCTTAACTTTCTAAAAATCTTATGAATATTACGGATGAATTAATGCTTTCACATCGACTTTTATTATGTTTGTTAATCCATCTTAATCCACCAATTTTTTTCTTGCAATCTGATTGGCCGGTTGACTAAAATTCATCACATGATTGGTTGACAACCGCGTGTAAGGAATCTTTCCTTATTTGGGACGTTCCCCTGCTCAAAAAGTGAGCAAGGAAATGTTAAAAAGAACGAAAATGATTAAAAATGATTCTGGTATGGTTACACGTGATTATCAACCAATTATATCGGTAATTTTAGCGAAACAGCCAATTAGATTGCAGAAATAAAATTGTTGTATTAACTACCCGAGCTTTTTAAAAAAAGTATTGTAAAATATATAGCGATAGTTACCAATTATGTAACAATCGGATAATTATTTCCATATTAGGGACGTTTCTCTCCTGTAGCTAAAAAGAATATTTTCCGAAGGCTCTCGAACAAACCGATTTAGTCTTCTTATGATGTCATGTACCCTTAGATTATAATTTCCGAGAAAATGGCGCGAAACGGTGTAAGGAATAGTTTCACGTTTCACAATTTTAATAATTTATTTATTTCTCATGCCCTTTATATAACCACATTGACTTTAAATCAATTACAACATTAATTTCCTTTGATGACTTTCAGGTTTTCTTCAGTTGCTTTCACCAAAGAACCGATTTCATCGTGACAACAACGATAAGTATAACCATTATTAATTGAAAATGTAAAATAACCATTTATTTCATTAATTAAGCGATTAATTAAATTATACCTATCCGTTTCATGTGCTCGCTCGCACGATATTATATTGGCTTCTGTCAACTTGAATATATTTAATTCCAAACTCTTGAAAAATCATTTTTAATAGTGGCTTGTGATATAGATTTTTATAATGGCTTGTTACATTGCAGTTTACTATAACAGTTTGTTGTATAACAAATTTGTTATATTTATATTTTAATGATCTTATAACATTTTATAATTGTTTTGTAATGACTATGTAATGGCTGTATAATGGTTTTGAATATTCGAATATTCGGTTATTCGAATATTCGATTCCAACCTCTATCTCTTTTGTCTCTTTTATCTTTATCCCCTCTACTTCTACCGTCACGTTCTTGCTCTTTATCTCGATTTTCACGTTTATCTTTATCTCTGCTCTTATCATGATCATCTTTTTCACGCCTCTCTTTATCCCTCCCCTTATCTCTATCTCTGTCCTTGTCTTTGTCCCTGTCCTTGTCTTTGTCCCTGTCCTTGTCTTTGTCCCTGTCCTTATCTTTGTCCCTGTCCTTTTCTCTGTCCCTGTCCTTTTCTCTGTCCCTTTCTTTTTCTCTGTCCCTTTCTTTTTCTCTGTCCCTGTCCTTTTCTCTGTCCCTTTCTTTTTCTCTATTCCTGTCTTTTTCTCTGTCCCTATCTTTTTCTCTGTCCCTGTCTTTTTCTCTTTCTCTGTCTTTTTCTTTGTCCTTTTCTCTTTCTCTGTCTTTTTCTCGTTCTCTATCCTTCTCTCTGTCTCTGTCCTTCTCTCTGTCCCTGTCCTTCTCTTTGTCTCTGTCCTTCTCTCTGTCTCTGTCCTTCTCTCTGTCTCTGTCCTTCTCTCTGTCTCTGTCCTTCTCTCTGTCTTTGTCCTTCTCCCTGTCTTTGTCCTTCTCTCTGTCTTTGTCCTTCTCTCTGTCTTTGTCCTTCTCCCTGTCTTTGTCCTTCTCTCTGTCTTTGTCCTTCTCTTTGTCCCTATCCCTGTCTCTCTCCCTTCTTTCTTTATCGCGATCACGTTCTCTGTCACGCTCTCTATCACGTTCTCTGTCACGCTCACGTTCCCTTTCTCTCTCACGATCCCTCTCTTTCTCACGTTCTCGTTCTCTGTCACGATCCCTATATCGGTCACCTACAACAGAGTTTAGTCAATAAACTCTAAATGTCAATGCGCTGATTGCACTAACTACACGTGCTCAATACTCCAATTCAGAGGTATCAGCACAGTGATTTACTTATAAAAGGACTTTCAAAAAGCGCCATTTTCGTGGCCTGATCATTCACCATAATCGCACTGATACCTCTGATTAAGACAAGCCAAGCCAAGATTCAAACCTCTATCACGATCTCCACGATCCCTCGAACGCCTCCTTCTATAATGATAATCTATCGTGGTAAATTTGATGAGTTAGATTTCAAATAAATTTTTTATAATCTCAACAAACAATTTAAACAATGTATACCTCTGTCCTTCGATCTTGACCTAGTCCTTGACCTTCGTTTCCTAGGTTTACTATGACTTCGCGTTCTAGACCTAGTTCTACTACGCCGGATGGACCTAGAACGACTACGAGGTAGAACAGCTTCAGCAGCAGGTGAGGTAACGTCCATCATTTCAACATCATTTATTGATGCTGAAGGAGAATTGTCTGGTATAGACCCATCGGTATTTAATCTATTAGCAATTCTTAGTTGTGCTTCCCTAACACGACGCATGGTGGCTTGTACATCTGGTGCATCATTCTTTTTAGGAGTTTTATTAATTGCATTTTTCGAATGATTCACTCTATAAAAATAATATAAAGTAATAATAATAAGATATATGCGTATAATATCGGTAATAATAATCCACAAACAATAAATAATCTTACTTTAAAGGTCGATCTCCTAACATAACACCATTCATTTGCATAGCAGCCTGTGCACCTTCAAAAGTAGCAAACTCTAAGAACGCAAACCTTGTAGGTTGAGCTGGATCACCTGCCATTTTCACGTAGGCAACTGGACCACAGGCCGAAAAGAATTGTGTTAATTCCGGTTCCGATATCGAGGAATTGATATTACCAATGTATACCGTTCTTGATATTTCTTCGGCTTTGGCTGGATCAAATTGTGCAACTGTCGGTGAAATTGCAGGGTTCGCTCTTATTGCCGCAAGAGAATTTATAGAGAACGGTGGTACGGTGATTGGTGTGATCAAAGGTTTTTGAGCTGATTTGGATTGGAGTGACCTAGGTGGTGAGAGATTTTGTGGAAGCATCTGTGATGATATGATTTGTTGTTGGTATGAACTATTAAAAGGAATGCCGGAAGGAGCGGTCGTTGACGACACCATCAAGGTGCGATCACCTAATTCCACTCCAGTTAAATGGAGAGCTGTTATTGCTGAATATGCTTCCTTGAACTCTATTGTACATTCTTGTACGCCATCACCATGAGGACTGTAAAATAAAACAAACATAATTACAAGTGTGTAAAAAATAAACGCGTATATTGAAAAATTTTTACCTATTATATAATTTTATTTTTGTAACATCACCTAGGAACTCAAACAACTGTTTCAGTATCGGTTCAGTTACGAGGGAAGATATGTTTGCAACCTGTGAATTTTAGATAGCAGGTCCCATTAATATCAATGTGACTAGCATACAAATGTCAACTTTAATAAACTGTATGTACCTTTACAACGTTATCAACTGACATTGATCAGCTTTCGTACATTAAGACTTTAGACTTTGATATTTCGATGGGAATGCATTGTACAAGAAAATCTTTTCTGATTGGTCAAATCATACGATCATAAGTCATTGGTAAAACCAAGAGGCTTGGGTCACAATTGATGATTTTTGCCACATTTTATCTAAAAAGGATGACGCGTGAACCCTAAAAAACTTTTTCCTTCAATAACAAGCAATGGGTGGTTTATATTTATTAGATTATGGTGCAGGAAACGTACGTAGCTTAGCGAATGCCTTAAATCGATTAGGATATGAATTTAAATGGGTCGAAAAGCCCGATGATATTTTAGCAGCAGATGTAAGTAGACAATATGTAGATATAAAATATAATTTATATTATTATTATATAATAATAATAAAAAAAACGAACGTACAAAGAAGCATTTCATTAAGCCTAAATATCTTTTTTATAATTCTCACGTGATCAATACAGAAATTAATTTTTCCGGGAGTGGGTGCTTTCGGCAGCGCAATGGAATTATTAGCATCAAAAAATTATGCCGAACCTCTAAAGCAATATATAAAACTAGGAAAACCATTCATGGGAATTTGTGTCGGCCTACAGACTTTATTTCATGGATCCGAGGAAAATCCTAATGTTCCTGGTCTGTGTGTTATTTCAGGTACCGTGAAGCTTTTTAATAAAACTGATAAGGCCGTTCCACATATGGGATGGAACGAAGTATTTTATATTAAGAGGATCGACGGGGTTAACGAAGACTATCTAGAAGATAATCATCATGGCATTAAACAAGGAACCGTCTATTATTTTGTCCATTCTTATGCTGTACCTTTCACTGATGAACTCAAGGAATGGACACTCGCAACGACTCAATATGGTAAAGAAATTTTTATCAGCGTGATTCAGAAGGATAATATTCTCTGCACTCAATTTCATCCAGAAAAAAGTGGATATGCTGGTTTAAGAATTCTAAGATCCTTTTTGCAAGGAAAAGGCATCGTGAATAATAATGTCTGCGAGTCATTCATAATAAAAAATCCAGAATTATTGTCCCGAGATCGGTTTACCAAAAGAATAATCGCATGCTTGGATGTGCGGACTAACGACCAGGGTGATTTGGTTGTTACCAAAGGTGACCAATATGACGTTCGCGAGTGTAGTGATGGTTCAGGAATTTCAGGACAAGTTCGCAATCTTGGAAAACCTATTGATTTAGCACGTCGATATTTTGATGAAGGTGCCGATGAAATTACATTTTTGAATATCACAAGTTTTCGAAATTGCCCGCTAACGGATTTACCGATGTTAAAAATATTAAAGCGTACTTCAGAAACTGTTTTTGTTCCTTTAACCATTGGTGGTGGTATAAGAGATGTAACTGATCCTGATGGCAAATTTCATTCCGCGCTTGAAGTTGCGGGAGAATATTTTAGATCAGGAGCAGATAAAGTTTCTATTGGCAGTGATGCTGTGTATGCTGTAGAAAAATACCTTGCAAATGGTAAGAAACTATCAGGAGACACCGCAATCGAAACCATTGCTCGCGCCTATGGGTCTCAAGCGGTTGTAATTTCTGTGGATCCAAAGCGCGTTTACGTTGATTCTCCGGTTAATGCGATGGGGCATCATGTTATCCCAACGTCATACCCCGGCCCTAAAGGGGAAACATGGTGTTGGTATCAATGTACCGTGAAAGGTGGTCGCGAAGGTCGAGATATTGATGTTCATCAACTAGTTACTGCCTGTGAAACTATGGGCGCTGGTGAAATTCTCCTTAATTGTATGGATAAAGACGGGACAAATTCTGGATATGACTTGGAACTAATACAAGATGTAAAAAAGGCAGTCAAAATACCAGTTATTGCATCAAGCGGCGCTGGACGAGAAGAACATTTTGAAAAAGTCTTTGCCGAAACCAATGTAGAAGCTGCACTTGCTGCTGGTATATTTCATCGACGTGAAGTGCCAATACAAAGCGTTAAAAACTATCTAAAAGAAAGAAATATATTGGTGCGGGATATGGTTCCCACTTTATAATGCTTGAGTATTATTAAATATAATGTAAACAATTTTGTTCGTATAAATGTTATCTTGAATTTTTTTCCGAAAGAATTCGCATTATTTAAATTAGTGAGATAACTTGTTTGTTTAAGCAATAGATATTTCCACTTTATTAGCTACTTTAATACATTTTTATCATCTTTTCGTAAAAATGTAAAGTACATTAACATTATTAAAGACGATGCAATTAACACATCAAATCAATCAAAATAAAAATCGCGAGCAATATCAAAAAGTATTGTAACGAACTTCAGACAGCGTATTATTAAAAGTAAACCTATTACTGCTAACTCGTGGTTTACTCGAAGATGATGGTGTTGTCATGCTATTATGCATATAAATCCAGGGATGATTCAAAATATCTTCCAAGGATGGACGGCAGAATGGAATTTTTTGAAGCACCTACATAAAGATTATAATAATGAACGATTCAATAACTTTAATATCGAAAAATAGTTGACTATATTATATAACTACCATTAAGATAAAGTTCCTAGCTTCACTTGACACGTGATCAGGGATATTTACGGTGTCACACATAATTCGTCGACAAGTTTCGTGAAAGCCTATTGCTTCAAACGGTGGCACACCAACCAACAACTCATAACACAAGATTCCAAGAGCCCACACGTCAACATTTTCATTATATGGAAGGCGCCGCACCATTTCTGGTGCAAGATAATCCAAAGTTCCACAAACAGTTGTAAGTGGGGCACTGTGTTACACATTAAAAAAAAATCGAATACGTATCGATATTAAGCAATAATTCTTTTTTAAATTTTACGTATAAGGGAGCTAACACTTGTTACGTAAATATAACCCCTTATAGTCAGTCATTTGACACAATTACAAGTTCTAAAATAATCGTTTGACAAAACCCAATCATATATTATGATCACTGTAATTGTGTCAAATGACTGACTCTGAGAAGGTTATATTACGTAATAAGTGTTAGCTCCCTAAGTCGTTCGTCAACCACTCACCCTGATAAACCTGGTACATATGTTGCCCATCCGAAATCAGCTAGTTTGAGCTCACCATTTCGTCCAACTAACAAGTTCTCTGGCTTAATGTCTCGATGAATAATATGTTTCTGATGAATGAATTGCAGGGCTCTGGCTATTTGCGCTACGCACTGAACAGAAATATATGATTACCGATCGCCACGAATCGTAAAAGTATATACACATATTTACCCGTGCAGATCGTCCTTCAGTAATTCGCTGCGATTTTTTGAGAAAATCATACAACGTTCCATATTGTGCAAATTCCAAAATCATTACAATATGGTTATCATCTTGAAAGTAGCCATAAAGTTTGAGGATATTAGGATGACTAAAAGTAAAATTTCGTCTTTATACATTTTAACCCTGATAATTCAAATTCATTACTTAATGCGAAAATTAAGTTACTCAAGATTGCCTTGAATTTCAACCTCTCGTTCCAATTGCGTCAAGAGTTTCTCATGTTGTAACTCTTGTTTTAACAGAATTTTCAGTGCGACGATATACCCATTTGCCTTATAAATCGCCAGATATACGCGACCATATTTACCCTTGCCGATCTGTCGCTCAATTTTAAAATCATTCATAGAGAATGCACTAGGAACAGTTCCGCTAATATAATAATCACAGAAATATTTCAATGTGATGACATTTCAATTAATCGATGGTACATAAGCTTACTGGTTCTGGCTGCACTTTAGATTTTCTTTATTGACTTTTTGTTCTTGAGAAGAGTTCTACATTAAAAAGAAAACCACATTATCCATTTTACAATATGCGCATTAATAGCGAAAACGGGTAAAAAAAAAAAAAAATTTAAAAGGATTCACAAAATAATAAATGGCTCTCGTGAAATTTTAGACCAGATCAAATGTTTACCATTGAAATAAGGTTTTTAAGATAGTTGATCTTTACAAACTCGAGGGTAACCATCAGTAGCGTTTCTTTATATATATGATCATGCAGATGTGCGCGTGACGTAATAATTTTGAACTGTACAGTAAGACCTCGATATAGTCACAACCTTGTTATAGTCCCTCTATTTTTTATTTCTTGCTATTATAGAACAAGAGGACCGTCGCGTTGGGGTGGTTGATCAACTAATTAAATCAAACCTATATGTAGACCCATAGTTAGGGTTCGGGGCACAGGTAAAAAATTAGGCATGCCCATCTAAGATCATGTGACCAAATCATCATTAGCCAATCACAGCGTAGCATGCATTAACTCTAATTAGTTAATTACTAAATATATAGTTACATATACATTGCATATAATAACTGACTTCAACAAATTGTTTGTTATAAAATAAATTGTTAAAAAGAAAATAATTATAAATTCTAAAACTATACTTTATATTTTATAACATAACCTGTAAAAAGGTTAGATAATTTTTTTTTTTTTTTTTGTTAAAGGTCATACTTTGTGGTGATACTTTATTGACTTATATTGGGTTAGTTATTACAATTATTTTTACAGAAATAAGAGTACAACTAGTCATACAAACAACTTTTAGTTGCTTATTTAAGTAGTCCATCTTAAGGTTCTATACTAGATATTATATCTATAATCTAAGATTAGATAATTTAAAAATTAGCAATAGGTATATTTTTGTTTTATAGGTCAAAACAATTTAGTAATTAGTAAAATAAATTATATTTTAGTTAAAAAGTTTTAAGTTTATTTTTTTAAATATGAAAAATAATAATTTAAATAATAATTAGTTTTTTTATTTTATTTTTTTTTTTTAAACCTTAAGCAGTTACGCTAGTACTTTATTAAGATTCTTGAAACTATATACATTTATAATTACA